ATATTAATATATTTTATACGAAAAATAATAAAAAATATATAAATAATTCTGCGGTGACCAAATCCTTGACATAAAAAATGCTATATATGTTCTCACTATAGAATATCAATTAATATATCAATACATTTTATACATAGTAAATATGATCGCAATTTACAAGCAACGGAAGATGCTCGTTAAATAGTTTTAGCATATTTAAATAATTGTGATTTTGCACATACATACACACAAAAAGTTTTTTTTAAATAAATATTCTATTTCAGAAAGTCAATTTGACTTTGAAATATGACCTCAAGATCATGATCCTGAGTGATCTTCAAAAGGATTTAGCCGGCATTGTTTATTAAAAAATTATAATCATGAAATGTAAAAAATTATCTCTATAAATCAAATGATATGGAAGATTATAATACGTACAACTTTTTGTGCGAAATGAAGGCTAGTCTATCCCATCCCTTTTCTATCCCCCATCTCAGACTTTCTATGCAAAACAAGATCTATGCATCACCCCTCTATCTAGAAAGTTGGATGACCCTAGATGGAGGGGATTTGGGGTGAATTTCGCTTTACGTGAAAAATCGTATGTCTCTAAGCAGAAAGGGAGATGAAGTGAACTTCGTTTCGCGTGGAAAATCTGTCGTCCCTTGGCAGGTGTGAGGTAGGATGAAACTTCCTTCGCAAATGAAATCACAAATGAAAAGTCATTTCACAGATCGGGGGAGGAGGGGGAGGGAGAGATGGGATAAACCTAGCTTCACGTAAATAGTTGGGCGCCTCTAGATAGAGGGATATAAGGTGGATCTCATTTTTTCGCATGGAAAGTTATATTGAGTTATTTGTAATAATTACAATTTAAATTATATTACAATTAAATACACATTTATAATGTCAATTTCATTTGTAAATAACTTTTAACGAATAATGAGCACAGTTATTAACTTGTATTAATAATCAAAATTTAAATTTAAAACTTAATGATTACATACTTCAAAGTGTTGTTCAATCGATTCTAAATTCAAAGTTACCAAACATTTATTATATAAAACATTATTTATAAAAATGCGGCGACATTGCATTAATGAAAAAAAATAGTGTTTGATTACAAAATTAACAATTTAAAACATTTTAGAATGTATACAAATAAATGTATATATGTATACATAACTTCTGCATAGTTGCTCACTAAAAATCTCAGTATTAAAAACAGTATACGTAATATAAACTATAAATTAATAAATAGTAAAGTTGCAATTAATTATCAAATAATTATGATATGAAAATCTTAAAAAAGAGGTCGCGGATAATCAATAAGCATAGAGGGCTACTATTAGCAAAATGCCATGCTATTGTTTGCATAATTCAAAATATATACTCGTACAGTCAAATAAAATGTTGAATAGCAAACAACACACTCAAAACTACATATATTCGTGTGATAATATGTTCAAGTTTAAGAAAAATGAGGAAGTAGGTGTAATTAAATGCTAAAGTGTATCTTAGAAACGTTTCGAAATACTTGAAAGTAAAAATGCGTTATAAGTGCTAGCTATTGAGTATTGGCATAGTAGCGTCATGGTGTAACGGCGAGCTACTGAACAATAATTCCTTAAGTAATTATTATAATTTGTTATATAATAGCGTTATATAACATAAAAAGAGGTCACAATATCTACACTTGCCATAATATCACCTTTTTCTCTAATAAATAGAGTAATATATTGCTACTTAATAATATACAATATTTGTGAACTATTGTACTTAATTGATATTGATGATTTAAAATCATCACTTTGTGAGTATATGCTAAAATGTAAAACAAATTAACGAATTTTTTTCTAAAAATATATTTTTATTCATATATATATTCACCAGTTAAAAGCAACACTTTATTTTGAGTTTCGGAATGCAACTCGTTCGTCGAGTAATTGATTCTTATGGATCTAATCATTTAGATGCCGCTTTACAAGCAAAACTGACAAGGGGAATCCCAAAAATGGTACCCTTAGATTTAAATGTCACAATTTTTGGTAACTCTACGAGTCATAAACAAAATTCTGTGTTCAGCGATTTTTTCACATAATTCTTAATTTTCGAGTTTTTAAATTTTGAAAATCGGCCGCGCTGTGGGTGGCATAGATAAGCCGTTTCATTAACATACTTCGCGAGCAATACAATATTGGCTCAGATGATTAGATTATACGCGTTGGTATTCGCGTTGAAAATCGAAGGATGCAAGTTCAAAACTCATCATAAGTAATTTCTTTTTATCTCTTTATTTATTTATTTATTTTATTTATTTTTTGTTCATAAATTTTAATGTATAATATTATTTAATGTTATTGAAATTTTAATACATCCATATGTGTAATTAAATGTAAATTTACGTTTTTACGCTGCTAATTATTATATCCATATGACCGAAAGAAGAGTGAATATATATTGACATAATTGGATAATAGAAATTAGAATAGAGGAGTAAAAGACAATTAATAGCTAGTTAATAGTTAGGGTAACGTATTGTTACGAGTTTGCTTTGACTTAAAGTTCGCGCATGGGCGCGAGCTCGCGCACACGCGTGTACGTATGATTGGCAGTGGCGCTTAGCGCTTTGATGGCGCTATCTGTACAGCATTTTCCGTTGCAGTTGCCTCCATTTTCGTCATTGTCGTCGTGGTGTTCTGTCGACCATATTGTTCTTAGTTTTCGACTATATTCTTATCAATTATCACTAATTATAATAATATTCTTTTTTTATGTAATACAAATGGCCAAGCGCGCTTTCTTATTGATTAATTCACTACTACTACGAAGATATGAAGAAGAAGTGATGAAAAAAACTAAGGATAAAATAATTTTAGAAGAAAAGAATATATATTTTAACATATATTTATTTATCATGTAACAGTATGTACAATATAATCTAAATCATAAATTATTGTATTAGTTCACATTCTATAATAAAATTTTTATCATAAATTTTGTACAAAGTTTGTTGCAGCATTGTTTTTATTAATAATATAATTTTATGTATAATACAACTTAAAAATGACATAAAATATTCGAATTTCTTACTAACACGTGTGTATATTGACTCAGTTCATAGAAAACATTGCTTAACACATTGCTCAAGCTCAAATAAGAAAAGCATAGTTATTGGTTTCATGTACAAACCATTTATATTATGCCATTTAATGTTAATTTCATGTTATTCGTGTCATATATTTTAACAAGTTCCACATTTAGATCTTGAATCGATGATGATGATGATGATGGGATTGTTGACCGCTCGATATCTGCTCGCCTCTCCATGAACGTCTTCCATCAGGCAGTGCAATTGATCTTAAGTTGTAGTAAGGGTTGTAGTTACGTTTTGCACTAACTCTACTGGAGAAAAAGGGCTTCGGGAATCTGAGGAAACCTTTTTCAAAAGCTTCCGACAACTATAGCTTCCCAAAACTCAGAGAAAAATCACCCTGAGATTCGCGGTTTTTAATTTATTAATCGCTCCCGTTTACTCTGATTTGGATTGGTGGAATAGATTTCGTTAATTAGTAGTAGGATTTTTCTTTGCTCTCGGATTGATCAAGATATTGAAGGAGGAAAGGATGTTGACCGGAGTAGTATGGAAAAGTGCGTTCTCCTAAATTTAATGACCTTGAACTTTATAGGAAAACGCATGTGCAGTGTAGTGCACGTGCAGCGTCGGCACGAGACCACCCAGAATCTATCCCTGAACGTCGTCTATTGCTTCTTAAATTTTGTGATCACGTGAGAACGTCTGCGATTTCACCGTTAAAAAGTATCTTGGCGCCAGTCTTACGCTTCCAATGATATATTTATTATTATTTTAATCGCAGTGTCCAAGGAGCATAAATTTGGTGTTCTTTTGATTCTTGTCGCTCGTACACGTGCACTGACTTTTAGTTTATCATGGAGCGTTTAGGAAATACTGAATTCTTCGTTTTTAAAATGGGAAAAGAAAATTTTTAATTTTCTCTAGGCTATAACGCTCAACTTACATTATTCGCAGCTATCTTTTTATTTCAACGAATTCTAGATCTTCACGAAAGAAAACAGCCGTGGGAATCCGCTGGACATAACAATACATATAAACAAAATATTTTATAAAATTAAATGAACTTACTGTCTCTTGCACGCTTCATCCTGTTGAATTGAAACGTAATAGTTAAAGGCTTGAGATATTTTATTTTTTCGGAGAACTTATAATGAGCAATAGTTGTCTGAACTCTGTTGAAGACAACTCTCTGAACTGATGCGGTAACGTTGCCCAGAGCTCTTCTTTTAAACAATGTTCTCTTCTGCATTCTTTTTACACACCCTAAATGGAGGGGATTTCTTTTTTATATACATTATACTTTGAAGAACAATTGCGACGTTGAAGGATAAAAAACTTGACACATAAGAATGCACTTTAACGATATCGAATTTCTTTTATCTAAGGGATCGGCGTCAACGAATAAAATCTATCTGTTCCGATTCTCTTTTCAAAAAGAATTTCGGGAAAAGAAATTAAAACATATTTAAAAAGAAATCTTATATTTTATTTTTTAAATTTAATATATTTCTTTCAGACATTGCGCACACGAGTATAGTTTAAACACATTTTGTAACAATTCTTAACATGTTTTCCACATCATACAGTATTAATAATATCTAGATTACATAAAGACATCTACATCTTCATAATCAGCATCCAGTCTCAAGTTTGGTCATATCGAGTCGTCGTTAACATTAAATTTATATGAATTCTTCAAAATAACTTAGATTTCGGTAGCGAACGGAAACATTGAAACATATTATTCGTTTTAACATTTTATACTTATTCATACATTTAGAATTACATTTTTTTTATTACGATTTGAAGATGCATCATATCTGTAATATATTTAATGTGAAATTTATTTATTAATGTTACAATATAGATATAACAAATTCTTAAGTGAAAGAAATTCAGATCGCATTGAGAGATGTCATGATATAATCGTTTTTGCATTCTATAATAAAAAAATTATATCATAGCTTACATATTTATAAAGCATTATTATAATTTAAAGAATCTTTAATGTAATAATATTGTAAGTAAGTCTTCATTTTTTTGTCTACTTACATATTTCAATAAGCGTGACAATAGTCAATAACAAAGGGATATATGTCATCTTTGGAAACGATTTAAAATCTCTTTGAAATATTATTAAACACAATGACATAAGGAAAACGCGCTTTTTTAAATACATGCCTAATTTGATTGTTTGTACAAAGATTTATCGTTGGAAGAAAATTTCCTTCGTGAAGGAAATGACGATATTGAGAAAGGGAGCTATTCTCT